CTTGCATTGGAATCACTTGGCGCGATCTCATCATGGAGGCCGAAGTCTTCGACCGATCGGCTGAGCTTTCTATAGTTACAGGATCCAATCTCGACCCCAAAAAGTACTGGTATGTGCTAACGAAAAGTTAATGTAAAATCAGGCCGCATGCTATTGGAAAGAACGAATTGTTTCGTCGATTCCGCGATGACTACAATACGTTCTGTCACAGCAGCAGGTCTCAAGCGCGCCAACAGAGCCTGTTCGTTCAACGCCAGGTAACCAAACAACATGTATGTTATATCTTAATTTGGTCTCTGTGCCGGACTAATCAGACAGGAATGCGGTAAATCAAATCGCTCTCGACCGTACACTTTAGGCGGGAAATGCCTCCACTCGAAAAATCATGGGAAATTGCAAAGATGTCAGTCAAGAATAGCCAATAGACATTCGGGTACTAGTTAAAGATAATAATTATATAAGTTAACGGTGGATGCCTCAACTTTCAGTCAAAAGAAGGAGTCCAAACAAAGAGCGGTCTCCTGATATAATTTTGTGTGAATTCAGTTTTTCGCGCCCTCTTGGGGAGTGTATACCTGAGGGTTATTTTTAATCTCTAGCATACTCTCTTGGTTAGTGCATACCTGAGGGTTATTTATAATCTCTTGCATACCCTCTTGTGTAGTGTATACCTGAGGGTTACTTTTAATCTCTCCTATACCCTCTTGGGTAGTGTATACCAAAGGGTTATTTTTAATCTCTCCTATACCCTCTTGGGTAGTGTATACCAAAGGGTTATTTTTAATCTCTCCTATACCCTCTTGGGTAGTTTATACCTGAGGGTTATTTTTAATCTCTCCTATACCCTCTTGGGTAGTGTATACTAGAGGGTTGTTTTTAATTTCTCCTATACCCTCTTGGGTAGTGTATACCTGAGGGTTATTTTTAATCTCTCCTATACCCTCTTGGGTAGTTTATACCTGAGGGTTATTTTTAATCTCTCCTATACCCTCTTGGGTAGTGTATACTAGAGGGTTGTTTTTAATTTCTCCTATACCCTCTTGGGTAGTGTATACCTGAGGGTTATTTTTAATCTCTCCTATACCCTCTTGGGTAGTTTATACCTGAGGGTTATTTTTAATCTCTCCTATACCCTCTTGGGTAGTGTATACTAGAGGGTTGTTTTTAATTTCTCCTATATCCTCTTGGGTAGTGTATACCTGAGGGTTATTTTTAATCTCTCCTATACCCTCTTGGGTAGTTTATACCTGAGGGTTATTTTTAATCTCTCCTATACCCTCTTGGGTAGTGTATACTAGAGGGTTGTTTTTAATTTCTCCTATACCCTCTTGGGTAGTGTATACCTGAGGGTTATTTTTAATCTCTCCTATACCCTCTTGGGTAGTTTATACCTGAGGGTTATTTTTAATCTCTCCTATACCCTCTTGGGTAGTGTATACTAGAGGGTTGTTTTTAATTTCTCCTATACCCTCTTGGGTGGTGTATACCTGAGGGTTATTTTTAATCTCTCCTATACCCTCTTGGGTAGTGTATACTAGAGGGTTGTTTTTAATTTCTCCTATACCCTCTTGGGTAGTGTATACCTGAGGGTTATTTTTAATCTCTCCTATACCCTCTTGGGTAGTGTATACCTGAGGGTTATTTTTAATTTCTCCTATACTCTCTTGGGTAGTGTATAACAGAGGGTTATTTTTAATCTCTCCTATACCCTCTTGGGTAGTATATACCTGAGGGTTTTTTTTAATCTCTTCTATACCTGAGTGTTATTTTTAACCTTCTTACACGGCAGACGCGGAAGACGATATTCATATGTGTGAATTTGTTCACAATGACCTAAAATGCAATAATGGTGTTTTAGACCAGCTTCTCCCCTGTTAAAGTCGATTTTGGCAAGAGTGATGTCTTCGAAAAAGCTAAAAATGCCATTCCAAAACCTTCGGACATAAAAGGTCATTATAAGAATAGTTGCACTGCGCCGAAGCATGTAGACCGAACGGGGAGACCATCAGTTGAGAGCGATGTGTGTTCTCTGGATTATCTAATCAACACAGTTTCTGGACTTTAAAAGTTCAAAACCATGACCTGTGTAAAGAAGGGTTTGTCGGAGTTAGCCTTAAATAGGCCAAGGTCTTCGATCATGGATCATGAATCAATTTTACCTGTGCCGCTTTTAAGGCTATTTTTGATTTTTTCTTTTCACGTGTTTTAAAGAGTTCCTGTTGTATGTTTCTGTAACATTTGGCCAGGAATATTTGTGGACTTTGTGTTAACGATTTACTGTTGTCTTCTTTAAGACATTTATTTTCCCTACAGAGAAAATAAGCTTAGCGTACCGCCCCTTAGGTTTTTTCGAATTAGACCCGTTAGGTCTGTATGAGGCATTTCTCTGGACAATTGTTTCTGGAAAGTGAGAGAACAAAGTAGAGTTGTATCTTGAGAATGATTAGAAATGTAATCATCGGAAGTTGCGGTTTTTTCCATTTCATTCGAGGGGAGCTTTTTTAACTTTTTTGTAGCGATTATCCGATGTCCTGGAATGCTCAGCGAACACCTCATGCCACCAAGAGGCGTCAAACCATGGCTTGAATTACTTATGCAAATTAGCTAGCTGTAAAACTTTGTTCCGACGCAAAGCTCGTCGCGTGACTGGCAGCGGCCCGGGCAAATTGGAAAACAAACCTAGGGGAGTCGCGAGGAATACCTGGTCGCGATTTCCGGTGTCGGTGATTAACTCCTTTTTTCACCAAAATGATTTTATATTTTTCTCGAGGTTTACTAGAAAATCGTCGAAACAGTTTCCGCGATAAGGCGCAATAAGGGAAATTTGCGAACAGCTGCTTACCTTCCCAGCAACCTTGCAAATGCAGTCTTAAGAAAGATTCTAGATTTACCTTAAAAGCCTATTTAAGCAGAGCTTTGAAAAACTATTCCATTGATATTTTTAATGCCGGATATTTTCTTCCAACATCATTTTACAACTTCACTTTGAAAAGCGTATCTTTCATTTCACGGCATCATATTGCGTAAAAACGAATCTATGTGAATGGCAGGAAGAAACGACGCGTCCATCAAATGAAACAAGCTGAAAGATTTCATTTTCCTCCACTTGGACTCATCTCGTAATTCACAATTCGATCAACAAAAAACAAGAAAACGGACGAAACTGAACCGAATGTCTATGAATGTGTGGATCTCGCCAGCGTTGGCGTCTTGAGTACTATAAGCTTAATCAAACAGCTTTTACCCGATCACGTCACCAAAAGCCTCGAGGGGCCACTTTGCGGAAACTCACTCATTAATCTCTTGGAGCCTAAGGGACTCAACTCATTGACCATATCTTACGAGATCTTGCAAAATTGCTGGAAATAATAAATGAACAGAACGATCGGGGGGTTCACAGTGTCCACTGTGATCAGACAGAGATCACACACTGAGTTTAACAGTCGAGGAAAGTGCTTGATACAAGAAAGTCGATTAAGGAATCTCATCTCTTTCATTAAAGATTTCGGGTATGCAGCATTTTTTGAGTTCCTCTTTAAACCTATCAAAAGGTTTTCTCTGATTTGTCAAATTTTCAATCGCGTGCACTAGCTGTTGTCCAACGGCATTGCAAATTTCTTGTTCTTCATCGATTGCAAATTGTTTGGGTACGTGAAAATAAGAGAGATGGTAAGTTTTGAACTTGGTAAATAACTAGAGAAAGATGTTTTTCGTAGACGAAAAACATCTCTCTCTCGGTTTGGGTACAGTTTAAATTAACACATTCTTGGACAAGTTCTGCCTGTAGGTTTGCGTAAGAGATGATTCTACATCTGTGACAGATCACCACCTACCCACAGCCAACGAGTCTAGCACGGTCTCCAGGTTTCTAGCTTTTTCAGCATTTTACAGTGCTTTAACAGGCTAAAAGAGAAAATATCGGGACCCGAGCAATCCATTAAGATTACTGATCCAATCTGATTTTACCTGTACCTCTAGCAAGTTCATATATTGCATAATTTGCACTTATTGCAAAAAGTTCTTTATTTATGCGAAACAGGAAGACGACTAGACGAACAATTTCGAGAACAGCAGGTAATTTAGTGTCAACAACTGAGCTGAAAACGTAACTTGGCCACCGTAAAGAGTAAAAAAGCTGACGCTCTGCGAATCGCTCTGACGAAGGGCTAACGCTCGAAACGTCATTTTTTTCGTTTCCTCAGCAGATGATATGTTCGCAAAATCATAAGTAGCCTTGAAACTGTCGCTACGGGTTACATTCAAGATTTACGTCAGACTTCCACTGAAGAGAATTGTTAAAGGAAGAACGGTAAAGTTCTCTTGGTTTTTTCGAAGTTCACTTGCCGCAAATACCTCAGTGGTATCCAGGAATTAGTGTGTGTAATAATCACTTTGTTATTTTGTCAATTCGTTCAGTTTTACGATAGTTCTGGGCCCAGTTGTATAAAGGGCAGTTAACACTATGCAACAGATAAATAGCTATCCAGCGAATAAGTGAGAGAAAAACCTACTGCACTATCCAACGGATAAAAGATTTATCCAATAAATAGCGTTAAACAAGCTTCGAACATTCAGAGCCTGATTGTGATGTTTTGTTCACCTTGAAAATCTAATGGTATTGATAGTGCACGTGCTTCTCTCAGTTTCCATTTTGCTCGTCATAAACAAAGGTAATACTGCTTAAGTGAAGTTCATTACTGCGAATATCAATCTTTTCTTCATTTATTAATCCGCAGTTCAAATATATGATATTCAGTAATACATTAACAGTCGAGCACATTTATGTTAAAGTTTCTATGAACAACACAGGGATCGTTTATCTAAGGGATAGATACAAGGGAATTTTAAGTGTGCTAAGTTTGACTTATCTTGTTCAGTCCTGGTGCCATTCCTGCTATAAGAACAGTTTTTGGTACTAACCATATCGCTTATAAGGCGAGTATGACAAGTCTTTGTAGGCAAGTGTATATAATTCTTTTCCTTTCTTGCCCTTGTATAGAATGGATGAAAATCAGTTAAAAGCCGTCTTAACAAAGTATTTTGGAGAAAAAACAGGAAATGTAACGAGAGAAACATCCAAAGATGAACTCAAATGTATCTATGATGAACGGTCAGGAACTTATGACCAGGTACATAACAGAATTAAGAAAAAATGACCCAGTGCACTCCAAGAGTTATTGGCCCGTTTCATGAAAGGTCCAGTATTTTTTCGGGCCCGCTGCAATATTCATTCAACCACTTTGCGGTTGCTCGATTTTTTCAATCACACCTATGATTACAGATCGAATTGGACTCCACTCGGTCCTATTACCATTAATAAGAGTTTGATTTTTCTTAACGCGTAGGAAATATTAGCAGTTGGTGCTGCTTTTCACAAGCCACTCGCCAAATGTTTGCATAATGCCCTAAAGGAAGTTCTGAAAGACAAACCAAAGGATCAGATCAAAATTATGGACGCTGGAGCTGGGACGGGGCTGATAGGAGTGGAGCTCAAGAAACTGGATTACACGAACCTATGTGCTCTTGACATCTCACCTGGCATGTTAAACGAAGCAAAGAAGAAAAATGTTTACAACGAATTAATCTGCGCGCCTTTGAGCGGGCAGCAGATACCTCAGATTAAATCAGGGCAATTCGATGCCTTGATTTCTGGTGGGGCACTCCATGAAGGACGTGTCAGTTCATCTGCTTTCGTGGAGATGATCAGAATGGTTCGAGCTAGTAGGTCTTTAAATGGAGTTTACCGAGGCACAGATGCATTTGATTTACAGATGTCCACGGAGAGTCTCTTCTGTGGCTGGTTGTGAGACTTGACACTGAATCATCAATTAGTTGGGGCTCCATAACAAATGAAGTTTAGGAAACTTGCTCGTAATGTTTTGAGTCTTATGCGCCATAAAAAAAATGGTCTACGAATAAGCGGACGTTACCCCCGATAAAAATCATGCTTAGGTTAAACTTAAGATGAAAAAACACTTCCAACCAAAAAGGAAAAGAAGGATGATTTAAGATTGAAGAGATTGCAAAACAGAAAAACGTGTAAAATTTACTAGCAACTTTTATTTTTCTTGTTTGTTTGTTTTTTTTAAACTATGAAATAGGTCGTGAAAGCTACCTATGTGGATAGGCATGAAGTCTCAAGTAACAGGCTTCTTGGTGAATTCATTTAACATCTGGTATATGACCCGAGAATCTTTTCCTGGCTGCCAAATCTTCTCTCTGCCAATTCGCTTTAAGAATGTCTTGTCATATCAAGAGCGCGACCTCTAGCTTCTCTCTTCATCTTTTAGTTGGATGATGTTATAATATTTTAAGGGAAGGGGAACGAATTAACCACCTCCGTGAATTAAATAATTGATGCATGGAACGATTCGAAAAAAGGATGGAAATTTCCCTCGACGAAACCTTAAAAGTCAACTAAATCCTAATATTAACTTCTTTGCAGATGGCCTCCTCTGTTTCAACATTTGGGAAGGTCAGTTAGGAGACTATCAAGAAATGATGAGGCAGCTGGAGAAAGATGGGAAATGGATCTGCTTGTCCAGAGAAACTTTACCTCTCTTTACAGCCGTGGACATGCCCAAAGAATGCTTGGGCTTCGTTTACAAAGTTTTGAAAAATTAAGCATCATGCCCCAAATTCACCCAGGAACATTTTAGAAATTAGTACCTCAAAGATCATTTCTAATGCCTGTTGTGAAGTTTTGACGGCAAATCATAAGCAAGGGTATAAAATAAATAAAACTATCTGACCGACAGTGAACTGATTTTGTACTTATTGTAACGCTTTATTACGCGGCAGTGGATTCGCTGATGCACGTTTTCTTTATGCAGGTTTTCGTTACACCCGTTTTCTTCGCGCATGTTTTCCTTACGCACGTTTTACGGACGGAAAAACTTACGAAACGCTGGAAATCCACCTGAAGGCCCGTTCTTCGCACTTCCAGGTGCCAACGGCCCTTATTATATTGAAATATTTTTCTAATAAAAAACTCAAAATAATAGGCTCAAAAACCAGTCCATTCTCTTTTGTTACCTGATATCTTTAATTTTATTAATTTCAAAACTATACATCTTCGTCAGGGTCTTGAATGTAAACACCACCGTAAAATAACAGCTTTTCGGGATCTATAAGCACTGGGACTCTCGAGAAACATGCTCCTTGAGTTGAGTGTCAGAGGGAGAAGAACGAGCTTTTCATCAGCACTTTCAGTGCTGAACAACTCTTTAGCTAAATAACATACTTAAGGGATCGTTTCTGAGTGCAGCGGAGTAATCAGCGTTCAATTACACCTGTTTTGTTCATTTCTCTTAATTGTTCTGCTCGTGCCTATCAGGAGGAGGATTTACAGTAGAGGTAATATAGGGATTAGCCTTAAAGCATAATAGCTCATGAACACAAATAATTTGTAGATCTTTCGTGCAATTTTCCATAATGATATGTGCGCTTTTTGGACGTAAAGAGAAACCATAGAAAACTGACTGCCAATTAAGGGGGGTCATAAAAATATCACAGGACTTTACGGGGGATCAGGTATGTTTTTGGTGACACAACCAAAATCTTCCGACCCCTCCCCCCTCAGGTGATAAGTAATGACCAGTCCTTAAATATATTCCGTTTTCCCTAGAGACCTCTCGTCAGTTAAATAATGTTTCATAATTTTTACTTAGACATAGAGATCATCACTAAACTGCAAATTACCATCCGCAGAGAACTGGTCAAGACATCCTGAGTGTCCAGGGATTGGACATTTGGAGAAGACACCCGGATGATAACGACCCCATGGGCCCTTGAAGGCCATAATGTCATTCCAGTGCTGCGCATGCTGATAAATGTTAGGCCCATAACGATTACGCGAAAAAAGTCCTGGATTTTGCATGGTAGTCACCCACAGACCAGCAAACATGATTTTTGTTGGCCGCAGACCTTTTGCAACGAGTAACTGAGACTCCATTGTACCTATGCCGTGCAGCTCAATTCTCCAATAGTTTCTATGAATGAAGATCTTTCCTCCAGTCTTTCTGCCGTCTGCACACCACTCTGGTCCGTTTACCTCTATGAACCTAAAACCCGCCGCTTCAAATTGAGAACGGAGCGTCAGAAATGCTGCATAGTTCTCTAAGAGAAATCTGATGTCAGCATCTTTCCCCCATAGCAATACCTTACCGAATTTTACAGCACCTAGAAAGGAGTAAGATTCATTAAGTTGGTTTATTACGAGAATTCAAACTTTGAAGTCACAAAGGGGTTGAGAGTCGTCGTGAGAAAGAACCGTTGTCCTTGGAAGTGAAGTTGCGATAACTGGAGTGGACGTCACAACTTTTGTACGAACAACTTCAAGCGATCGTATTTGTATACTTTTAGCAAATATAAATCCAGATTAGTAAGAATCAGCCGTTAATTTCTTAATGGTCTGGCATACACAGATGGTTAACCCTTCTTCCTATGTGTAAAATAAAAGGACATTTCGAAGAGCGTTGTAAAACAAGTCAGAGTAGTCACTACTTCCAATCAAAACTTGGGTGAATACTTAAAGAGTCAATGAAAACTCAAAGTAAAAATAACCCAATTGAGGGACAAGAGGCGCGGGTAGAACGCGCTTGAGGCGCGGGTAAAACGCGCTTGAGGCGCGGGTAGAACGCGCTTGAGGCGCGGGAAGAACGCGCTTGAGGCGCGGGAAGAACGCGCTTGAGGCGCGGGAAGAACGCGAGGGACAAGTCGCAACTGATTGGTTTAAATTTTGCTCACAATCGGCTGACGAGGGAAACGTGATTTTTTCAGACCGTATAGTGAGGTTAAGATAATCCCTGATGACTTTAGGCTCTCAACTGATAATTTTTAAAAATCAAATACCTAATACCGATCCGTCATCGAGCTCGCAGTACAGTTCAGCCTCTTCACAAACTTTCATTATAAACTTTACTGCATTTGCGAGATTTTCTAGATCACATGGTAGGACAGAAAATCCTTTCGCCCTGTGCCCAGGTCGAGTACAGGGGCGTTTGTTCGTGTAAGAGTATCCACGCCTGCAGCCATACTAGCGGACTCTGCCATTGGACTCAACCCATTTTTTCACGTCCCACTTTTGGGTCAAGGCGACGTAACTCTCGTCCGCAATTTCACGCTGATAGGTGTCAAACATGACGTCAGGGCAACTGACGATAACCTTCTCTGTGTGTTTGAATTTCAATCGCCAAAAAAGTCCTGAAGGACAGCGGATTCTAAGCTAAGAAGAAGAAATGAAAGATCATGCGAAACGAGTCCCGGCTATCTGTCAGAGAACCGGAGAACAAAGGAATCAGTCCAGAGGATCCCGATTACAAATTAATGATAGGACCGAGTGGAGTCCAATTCGGTCTGTAATCATACGAGTAATTAACAAGGTAAGAACAATCGCGAAGCGGAGTCCGATTTGTTAATCACGAGTTTGGTTGCAGAGAGAATTGGACGACAAGAAGTCCTGTTACTAATCAATCAAAACTATAAGAAAATTTGAGAAAAAAACTAGACATCGATTATGGGTTTTTATTTAAAAAAAAAAAAACAACAACAACAACAACAGTTAACTTGGCGAAATGTGGGACATGCGAGGCATGTCGGACGTGTTAACTGTCCCTTTCACCGTCCTATTACACTGTCCAATTACAAGCCTGACGCGTACACTACCCTAGTAGTGCTCAAATCGGGGTGATGATAACCAATCACGTCCGAGAATTTTGTTATAGTTTTGATTATAAACAATTATTGGATGAGGTTGAGTATGATGTCATGCGAAAACCGAGTTCAATAACTGTTTTAATACACCTTTTCACTACATGGAGTTTCTCTCTGAGTTTAGAAAAGTTTAAGAACAACCACATAAACGAGGACTTGGAAACTAGGCAGACTTTGATAAATGATAATATCGACATGATAAAAGCGACATCCACTGGATATATTGGGTTATCGTGTCAACTTCATACACTTTTGTATTTGGATTAAATGCTCTCAACCGAGCAGATTTTTTTAGTAAGTCAAGTTTATGACGATTAAATTGTCATATCTTAACATCTAGAGAGCTCCTAATATGCTGAAAATATCTTGTTTGGTGACAGCCTCTTTGACAGACTCGCTGCGGTCAGCTCGATCTTGCGCGATCTTGTTTTGGAAAAACCTACACCATGTAATTCCAATCCTAAACAAGGAATTCTGACCTTTTTTAACCAGGTAAAAACGTTGATCAAACTTACTTTTCGTCAAAGCCAAGTTCCTTCGGTTTCCTTGTTTAGGCCAGAAAAGAATCTTGGAGCACATCACATACTATACAATCATTGAACGAGTAGTAATAACCGTCTTGAAAGTAAGCAGTCCAGTTTCTGAATTTCAATTGAAGGCAGTCCTTGTCCCACTCTCCACGTTGATGCTTGTGGCTCCCCCCGGCAATAATAGTATCCCTGCTCTCGCTTAGTACTCGAACAAGGCGTTCAAGGTTGACGTCATCAGGAAAGTGCGTGATATCCAGCGCAAGGAGTACATAGGGTGTGATCACCATCTTGAGTAACTTGGACTATGTTTCTCCTCGAGTCAGGTCCTTGGAGACTAAGGTCGTTAAATTTAGCTTTAGACCTGTAACAAAATCAGCTGGAAGACTCGTCTCTAACGCAAGTGAACATTTACATTCGGATAATACTTTGCCATGGCTTGAAGAACTTGGTATTGTTTTTCAATGGATAGCTCATCCGGTAAAATGGCAAGTATCGTCACAAGTTGGTTTATTGGAAGAAACTCTGTACAGTTAATTCCCTCGAAACCTTTTCTAAAGAAAGGGTACCCGTAACGTTGATCCTTACCCAGAAATATTTCCGGACAAACCTCCCTCTTTGGTGGAATAATATTGCCAACTTGTGACCTGATATCCAGGTTTATTGCTTTATTTCCTGAATATTGTATCGATTGCATAATGCCATGTAGTACTTCAATATGTTTTCCAATGCGGTGGAAATGAAATGAATAAATTGATCAAAGTACTCTGTGTTACAAAGAGTTCGTCTTTATGAGTTGTAAATCAACTACCAGCCGCTTTGAAGAGTATTTCAAACCCCTGATAAATTGTTCCTCTTTCAATGTGGAAGGAAGTTCATATGTAGAGCACAGGGTTGCAGCATGCGCATGATTTGTGGCTAATCTTCAGTCTCGGTATGGAGCTAAGGTACAGTGACTTGTTATAGAAAACATGGAACATTCTGGTTACGATGTTTAGCAACTTAGGTATTTGTTCGGCGGGTCCGACTTTCCTTTTGTCTTATTGAAAGTAGGGGAGCCAGGGGCTGAAATTAAAAATAGAGATGAAATTACTACTCCGTGGATTTTTAGAGATAACTCATTTCTTGTAGTAAGTAATGTTCCTCTTGTTAAAATGTCGCAGGATGTCGAAAATAAATAACACCACTCTAAGATTAATCAATCTGCCATTGATTTTCTCACTTTGAAAGGCATCTGTCTTGCAATCCTGAGTTGTAAGTTCTCTTTCATCTTTATTTTCGCCTCCGGCCTCCGTCAAATATCTTAAAGACAGACTTGTGTCTAGGTAACATTGTATTTTAGGTAAACTAACTATCAGTATGCTTCAGTCATCTAGCTTATAT